ACAAAACCAAGAGCCCAATGTAAAATCCAGCCGTAAAGTATGAACACCCCATAGAAACATTAACGGTGTCTTCCTCCCACTGGGCAGCCTGGGAATCATTTAAAAGGAAGAAGGACACAATCAAGAAAACAATCTTAGCAGCCAAAAAAGAAAAGAAAAAAGTTTAAACAAAGCCAAAGTAAATGCAAGCTTGGTGACCATGGGCTCCTCCTCCCTTCTAGGCATATGAGACATATGAATGTCAGTGAATATTTTGAAAGAATGCTGAATTTTCTAGGTAAAGTAACACACTGTCAAAGAGTATTGGTTTCTCTAATCTGCTATTTCACATTTTCCTTTACTTGGTAAAACTCCAAGATTCTATTTCCAACACCCCACGCCATTGAGTTGATTCTGATCCATAGTGAGCCTACAAAAGCAAAGTAAAACTGCCCCATAGGGTTTCCAAAGCAGTAAATCTTTACAGAAGCAGACTGTCTAACCTTTCTGCCATGGAGTGGCTGGTGGGTTCAAACTGATGACCGTTTGGTTAGCAGCTGAATGTCTTGTCACCAAAGCTCCTTAAGATTCTAATTAGCTCATTGAAAATCTCAGTGGCTAATAGTCAGGAAATATATACTGATTTTTGTAGAGGAATCTGTTTTTCTGCCTATCCCAATTCTCACTACCCCACTTCCACTTCATGTGATGTGGGCTCCCTGAGTCTGGTCATGTGACCTGAGCTGGCCCCAATAACCCCACTCCTCAGACTCATGTCCAGCAATAGGGATACAGCACAAACAGAACCACAGCACAATTCAACTGAGATTGAAATACTAGGTGAATGAGAATCTCACCCTCTAGGATTGAAAGCTCAAAGCCATGTAAGCCTCCTGTCTGCCTGAAAACTAAGTAAGTAGAATCAAGAGATGGACAAAAACAGACAAAGGCAAGGCCCTAATGTCACTGAATGCCGGGAAGACAGTCATTTCTGAAGCCCAATCTATCTTTTGGACTTCCTACTAATATGACTAACAAATACATCTTGTTAAAATGTTTAAGTTGGGTTTCTGCTACTTACAACCAAGAGTCCTAACTACTATGCCCACCAATGAATAAGGCTATATAATGTGAATTCAAATGTTGTTGTTGTTATGTGCCATCAAGTTGGAACCCAACTCATAGCAACCTCTTCTTGGGTTTCTGCGGCAGTGTCACTACGGAAGTAGATTGTCCAACCTTCCCTCTGAGAACTTCTGGTTAGCAGTCAAGTGCCTTAGGCTTCCATAACTGGGGGAGGAAATAGGGGAGAAGTGCAAATGAAGAAGACTGGCTATGAGCTGATAACTACTGAAATTGAGTAATGGATATATAAGGGCTTATTATACCATTAAAGAGCTCTGGTGGCATAGTACCTCAAGGCATCTGACTGCTAACCAGAAGGATGGCGGTTCAAACCCATGAGCCATGCTGTGGAAGGAAGACGGGGCAATCTACTTCTGTAAAGATTTACTGTCTCGGAAACCCAGTAAGGGTCACTATGAGTCATAATTGACTCTATGGCAGTGGGTTTAGTTTTTATTATACCATTATCTTTTTTTTCACATATACTAGAAATTTTTCAAAATAAAATGCTAAAAAAAAAATATTAATTCCCCCCAGGCCTCACACTTGAAAAGTCCAGCACAAACCAGGGCCAACTAAACAACAGAATAGGCAGAATCATACATAAACCAGACAATAGCAGGCATCCACAGAGAATATTTATAATACATTAAAACATTAGCTCAACAGCTGTCTAAGATGCAACTATTGGTCTCTCCTCATCTGGAGTACAGAAGAGTGAAGAAAATACAAAAAAATGCATGGAAATAATTAGTCCAATGGACTAGTGGACCATGCCTATATGGCCCTGAGACCAGAAGAACTAGATGGTGCCTGGGTACCAATGCCAACCACTTGGAAAGGGATTAAAATTGGACATCCTGGATAGAAGGGGACAAAAATGTGGAACAGAACTAAAAAGCATTAAAAAAAAAAAAAAGACCAGGCTTACTGGTTGGATAGAGACTGGTGAAACTTCTGAGACCATGGTGAAACTCCTGAGACCATGGGCCCTAGTCACCCTTTGGGTCTGGAATTGGACACACTTCCACGGCTTAACTCTCACCCAAAAAACCAGACAGGCCTATGAGCTGAACAATTATACCAGGGAGGTGCATTCCTTAGAACAGTCAACCATGGGAGATCAGAAGAGCAGCATTTGTGCAGGGAGAAAGCTCGGAAGGCAGGAATGCATAGGAAAGAAGGACACAGGAAAAAGATGACAACAGAGAGGAAGTGAGAAAAGAGCTGTTACATTGTGGGGATTGTAATTAACGTCATGAAACAAAATATGTATGAACTGTTGAATGGAAAATGAATCTGCTCTGTAAAATTTCACTCAAATCACAATAAAAAGTTTAAAAAAAAAAAAACAACACATTAGTTCAAGCATTCTTTGCAGCATGCAAAGGGTTTCACTATTAGACCTGAGTTGATCAGGGCTTGGCAGGATCTGGAGATCTTAGATGACCCCACTCCTATCCATCCTCAGAGGGTTCTGCCATGTAGCTTCAGCTCCAGGGGAAATCATGCGTGCGTAGTGCACTGAACAGTGTGCACTGCTGGAGGACTTCCTCTTCCTTCCAGTGAGTCACAATAAAGCAGCTATTTTCCATAGCCACCCACTAAAGCAAGGGTGCGGCTCTGGCAATAGATAGATCTAGTGACCTCTAAATATTCACTAACAAGTACCATTGTTTTGACACAGTAATGGATTTCAGCTTATCAGTTTATGAAATACCCATGATTCTATGCCTCCATTAAGGCTAGAGTTATCATCTCTTCTCTCAGATTAATGGTTCTCAATCCCAGCTATCCAACAGAATCGTCTGGGATCTTTGAAAAATCTTGATTCTTAGGCTTCGTTCCAGGTTGGTTAAATCCCAATTTCTGGGGGTGGGTGTCAGATATCTGTATTTTTAGAAAGTTCCCAGTGATTCTAATGAGCAGCCAGGGCTGAGAACCACTGCCTTGGATAGACCTAGCTCCGTAACTGTCACTTACTTTGGGTACGTACCTTAAATCTCCAGACATTTCCTGCTATTGGTCAGAACCAACCCCACTTCCTGATCTACCCAAATGGGTAGATCCCAGTCAACCTAGAACCCATATCCGCCTTCTTCCTCACTCATATTAAGTCATGGAATCACTTTTTCTTCTTCATAATGCACATAAGACCTAGCTAATTGAGGGTATGATGCTTTTTTAACTTTTAATTCTGAAATCATTTTAGATTTGTAGAAGAGTAGCAAAGATAGTACAGAGAGTTCCTATACACCCTTTACTCAACTTTTCCTAATGCTAACATCTCATATACTATGAAATTATAAAAACGAAAAGATTAACACTGCTACAATACTACTGGGAGTTCTGGTAGCGTGGTGCCTAAGGCACTTGACTGCTAACCAGAAGGTTGGCGGTTCAAACCCACCAGCCACTCCTCAGAAGGAAGGTTGGGCAATCTACTTCCATAGTAATACTGCCTTGGAAACCCAAGAAAGGGTCACTATGAGTCGGGTCTGACCCAACGGCACATAACAAAAACAACACAACACAATATTATTAACTAAACTACACACTTTATGAAGATTTCATCAGGTTTTCCACTAAAGTCTTTTTTTTTCTGTTCCGAGATCCAAATCAGGATACCACCTTGTATTTACCATAATGCTTTTAAGAATGAAAACGGTTTGAATCAAACTTTGTCTCAGATAATTGAAACTTTACTTCAGCTTCATTCCCTTGCTCACCCTCTAGCTTTCTACCTACACTCATGTTTGCATTCAAACTGTTCCATGTTTCATCTAACCAAGCTATTTCTTAACAGTTGTGGGGGCATGGGACCCCTTTGAAAATCTAATTAAGCTAGTCTTCCCTGAAAAAACACACAGATAAATATGTCTAATTTCAGTCAGGGAGTACCTCATTATCATCCCCCACCCTCACAGGGCTTCCACCTTCCACAGTGTAGCTTCTGCTGACATTGATTCTGGAATGCAGTCAGAACAAGCTCTCTCCCTAGATAACTTCTTCAGATCCTAAACACAGCAGCAGTGCTTTCCACTCTGGGTTTTGGCCAACACCAGCTGCCCCAACCACTGCGCTGGGTTGAGGAAACTCTCTCCAGCTGGCCGGGCAGAGCTCTTTAGTTGGGCAATGAAGGCAGCAGGACTCCTCCCTTCCTGCCAACTTGGCTGCCAGCAGAGAACCCCCACATGTTTAGCTTGACCCATCAACACTTCAAAGCCTGTTTCTCTATGATGGGAAGAGACATCTTAGAATTTAAAACTTCGTAGTTCAAAAGCCATGTAGTCATCTGGGGTTCAACAAAGAAAAGCGACTCTAGCACCCAGAACAGTATTGACAAGTTCTATCAATATGGAATCTTCTGTCATTTTCAAAATGGCAGGAACCAAGATAGTCTCCTTCCAAGTTGGTCATGAGGGTAATGCCTGCCTACTATTCTTCAGCTTTGGAAATAGCTTGAGAGGCCCTCAACACCTGAAAGCCACACTGTCAATCCTACATCTTCTTTTAAGCTATCACTCCAGCCTCTGTACCAGGAACCACAGAAAAGGGAAACTCCATTCCCACTCACTGCTCATGATCTTACTTTTAAACCTCTTGCTCCAACTGATTTCTCAAACTGTCCATCCCAACATCCTGTCTTCTCAGATGTTGTTCATTTCCATTAATGCTTCATTCACCTGACTCTATGTTGAGGACTGTCCAGGTCTCACTTGAGCTATACGATCTTTGGTACAGACACATTCAGACTTTCCTTTCCTTGGGCCCACACTATTTTCCCTACTGACCCTCTAGCTAGGATCATACCAATTCTCTAACATCAACCAGAAGGCAACAGGGTTAGAGAACAGACAAATAATTCCTGTGGACAGAGCTGAGTCTAGTCTTACCTTCTGCAAATGGTTCCCATTCATAAAAGCGTCCCATGAATGGCTTGTTGTTGTATGATGCACACTGCACCTCTCGGATACTTCTACTGCTTTCTGGACATACCTAATAAAATGAAGATTAAATATGCAATGAGGGTCCATATCTTTTTGTGGCTCCAGTCAAATTCCAAAATACCTCTCTAACTTTAAATATCAATGCTCCTATGGTATAAATGGCTAATGCTCTCAGTTGCTAACCAAAAGGTTGGCAGTTGAAGTCCACTCAGAGCACCTCAAAAGACAGGCCTGGCAACTACTTCTGAAAAATCAGCACTGTAAACCCTACAGACTGCAGTTCTACACTGATGCACACAAGGTCACCAGGAGTCACGTTAACTTGACAAGTAGTTTGTTTTTGTTTTGTTCTCTACCTAAACCAAAGTTTCTAAAACTTTGCTGATCGCCTCATTAAAAATTTAAAATGCAGATTCCCAGGCATCAGCCCAAGTTTACCAAACCAGAATCTTTAGAGGGAAACTGAATTTTTTAACAACTCCCAGGTTTCTTCATAGTCATAGTTTGAAAACATTGACCTTCTTTCTGTGCCTGACCAACTGGTCTACTCGCTTCCCCTCAAAGAGGTCATCTACATCCATCTGTTTGACTTTGTTCATGCCATTTCTCCTGTATGGAAAAATATTCATAGCAAACACATACTTACAAGGTGCCAGGCACGATTTTAAACACAGCAATTTATTTAATCCTCACAACATCTAGTGAGGTAAGTATTATAGTCTTGCAGATTTTTTACAGATGAGAAAACTAAGGCATGGAGGAGTCACATAGCCTGTAAGTACAGGGCCGGGTTAAGGCATGTGAGGGCCCTAAACATTGATAATTTGCGGTGCCCACTCCTCTGCTTATTCATACATTTGAATGGGAGATACGAGTTACATATACACATGGATATATATGTATGTGTGTGTCTTAGCTATTCACAATGTAACCACTTTTTCTTTTAATTCATGTTATTAAATATAATTTATGTACAGTGAAAAACACAAAACTAAAGTGACATGGGTCAATGCTTTTTTTTTTGCAGTGTTCCCTCCCCTCCCACCCCTGGCAACCAACAAAGAAAGTTTCCCTCCATATATAAACCTTTCCTTGACCCTCCACAACAACGAACTAATACTATATTTGTTCTTCTGTGATTGACTTATGTCACTCAGCATAATGTCCTCCAAGTTCATCCATATTATGCAGTGTTTTGCAGTCTGTACATTATTCTTTAGTACTGCATAGCATTCCATTATTTGTGTGTACCATAGTTTGGTCATCCACTCTTCCACTATAAATCTTAGAGATAAGTCCCTTGCCAGATATGTAATTATCGTCAAATATTAATTTGTTGCTGTCATTTTTGTTATGTGTTTTTTCGTGGTGTCAATTTCTTTGTTCCATATGATTTTCTATGCTGAGCTTGTTTTGTTTATGAATCGTGTT